GCTGCACCCCACATAGCTGCAGCATCCAATTATAGGCGGGTGCATGCATCTCAGATAGAGATAAGTAGAGGCTAGGATACGTCCAACGTTGAAGGGTAGAAGGATTTCGTGATCTGTGTGAGGTGCGAGATAGTAATTATAAGATGACCGAAAGGGAATATACGGGTTTGAATCTGTAGAATGGAGATTTCTAATTCGACATTTACTGATGAATATTTAGTTTTAAGCGATACGGACGTTATAAAGGCAATAAGAATACAATAGCAACAGTTAACAAGAGAAGACAAATCCAGTATTAGTATAGATCTGCCTCGTCGGCAAGGTGTGATTAGGATTTGAAGTTGGGGGAAAAGTGTGAGACAGGTACAAAACCTTGGGGAGGGGTCTTTTAACGAGACAGTTTATTCTATTCGGACAGAGCTGTTGCCGTTGTGGAGGCAACTTGCTCCCCAGAACAGTTCCGAAGGAACACCCAACTGGTTGCTCAGCAGGCGTGAACAAAAGTCTGGTGTCCTACAATGCCGTGCGGCTCTCCGAGTGGTTTTTGAGTATTAATGGCCATGAAGGTGAAATTAAGGCCAGAAGATAATCGTCAGATTGATGGGACAGAAAGCCGTAGCGACGGTCGCTTGGCAACTTGTCCCACTCCTGGTGTCGGTGGATCTGATCAGTACTGACCGATTACATTAATTTTGAGGTGATTGATTTGAGAAAAATAGATGTAGGGTTTTAAGAATAGTCGCGTTTTTAAATGGAAAATATTCCATATTTCCCAGGGGTTTTGATTGCTCCGGGTTTGATGGACGGGTAGGACACGACGTGGCAGGGGTTTACAGACACCTTTTGGGGATGATTACACGGGTCCTGGTTGATCATGCGGAGCTAGCTGCAAGAGGATTTGGCCTATCTTCCTGGTGTAAAACGAGTCAAACAGGGTTGAGCGGTGGAAGATGAACCTTGGGCTTTGTCGCAGTTGATCTCGTAAGCTTTGCAGAGATGACTGGCTCTACTTTACGACTGAGGTCTCTTGTTTGACTGAGCCATTCACCAAGTGGAGATTGAAGTTCATCAGTGTTGACGTAGGCGCAGGTGAGATAATCCAGACGGGATAGGAGCGTTGAAATGAACGACAAAATATTGCGCTGTAGTCTAAAGGACGGGTCTTGGAAACTAATTTGAATGAATAATCTATCTTGACTAGGACGCGTTGTGCATAAATAAGATTTGCCTATCACCGCTATCTCTCCATAGTAGAGGGCAGCAGACGATGTTGTAATAAGGTATAAGAAGTTTAGATCTCTCGCTTTGTACCGCAGCGTGAATGGCGCTAGAAGGGTTGACTTCCATAGGTTCAAGGACCTACCATTTGTTTATTCATCACGATAGAACTATACATTGACACGGTGCAAAGACTTGCCTGCCTCTGTGAACCGGCGGGCAACACGGAAGACTCACAACTGAAGCTCTGGACGTATGAAATTCCAGATACGACTCAGTCTCTACCCCGGATTGAAGTGCATCAGGTTGCTTGTCTTTTAGCCATTCTATTACCCTTGGAGACGTCACTCCAGCGAACAAATACGGGGAGATGGTTATTGGTCTAAAACTTCCCGCT